GGAGACGCTAAAACATTCAGGACAAATGGCTGTCTAATCTCTTCTTCAAAAATTTCAATTAAAAACAACTTCTGGAGGCAAGCCCCTTCGACTGACAAATTGTTCTCATTGACTAGAAATTTTGCCTTGATTCTAAGTTGGATCTTTCTTTGATAGGTTTCCATCCATTGCTTCTTGTCTTTCCCTCAGGTGCTTTGGAGAATAGGTCAACCCCCTCTTCTCTCAAATACTAGAAGACTGCTATCATGTCACCCCAAGTCCTTCTCTTCATCAGACTAGATATATCTCGTTCCCTCAATTGTTCATAGCATGCTTTGGCTTCCAGTCCCCTAATCATCTTTGTTGATTGAAAAAAAATATCTTCTGTATTTTCTTTTTATATTTATGTATGACTTTCTTCACACAGACACACACACACACACACACCTGTGCATGTCTGTGTGTGTGTGTGTGTGTGTGTGTCTACAGGAGATGGGTGGTTCAAAAATACAAGAAATATGAAATACAAAATATTAATACATTTATTCTTTCATATTCTCTATGCATATAAATGTATTGAGTGTAGATGTCCTTCTGTGGCCAGAAACCGTGAAACTCCTAGTGCTAGTATTTTTTTTTTATTCCACCTCACCCCCACCCCCCTCCCCCAAAGCCTTGGAGTGGAGCAGTTTATAAATCTTATACATAAAAAATTGAATAACGAGCTGCTCCCCTTAAAATAAAAATGATGGCGTTGTTGGGCCATCAACTTGGAGGACTGGTACTCTATATTTATGGGGGGAAAGGACCCCACAATCATAATCAGATAGGACGCCACTTAGTTTTAAGTGCCTATTAACTGATTCTAAATTGTAGTGGAATGTCTCTGCAAGTACTTTTGACATTCACATTTATATAGTTGCTCTGATCAAAGCTGATGGAAGCATATAGCAAATGAGCCAATGTTAATGCAGCCTATAAAGCATCACAGAGTGAGTTGCAAGCAATTCTTGATTGTCTCTTTTTCTCCTCCTCCTTCTTCTTTTCACCTTTTCCGTATAGTTATTTTACTATCCCATTTACCCTGCTATTTTCATTGGAGGAACAGAATGGTTTTAAGGCCATTCAGTGAGTATGTGTGTCTGTATGTAAAACTCAATTTGGATTACTTTTTCCCCTTAAATTGTGTATTTTTTAAAAATTGTGTATACAATTTTTAATTGAGTACAAAACTCAGTTTGGATTATTTTCCCCTTAAATTAACCCTTTGTCATTTATTGACAGATTTTTTAAAAAGACATAATTTTTCTTTGGCTTGGTTAAAAAAAATCTGCATTTTTTCCATATAGAGTTATGTCTATGGATTTCATATCAAAACAATCGTCTGATGATAAAATGAATTAAGGGTAAATAGTAATTTAATATCCTCTACCATCAAAGTCTTAGATTAATGGGGACCCTATGCCACATCCTGATTAAATTGATGTCCACTCTATTTTTGAAAACCAGTGATGGTGCACTCACAAGTCTCAGAGATAAGCCGTTCCACTGGTTAATTGTTCTCACTGTTGGGAAATTTCTAGGCTGGATCACTCCTTAAGAAGCTTCCACCCATTACTTCTTGTCCTGCCTTCTGGTACTTTGTAGAATAAGTCAATCCCCTCTTTCCTGTGGCACCCCCTCAAGTATTGGAAGACAGCTATCATGTCTCCCCCAATCCTTTTCTTTGATAGGCATTTGATGGGAATACTTTCCTATTTATTATTATTTTCCTTCAGAGAGGTGGGCAAATTTGCTAATGAGTTCTGAATCGAAGACAGTTTTGTTTGTTTATTTCCTCTATTTCCTTTCCCTGACTGCTCTTTAGAAGACCAGATCCTGAAGTTGAAACTCAAGTACTTTGGCCACCTAATGAGAAGGAAGGACTCACTGGAGAAGAGCCTGATGCTGGGAAAGATGGAGGGCAATAGAAGAATGGGGACGACAGAGAAGGAGATGGCTGGATGGAGTCACTGAAGCAGTAGGCGTGAGCTTAAATGGACTCCAGAAGATGGTAGAGGACAGGAAGGCCTGGAGGAACGTTGTTCATGGGGTCGCGATGGGTCGGACACGACTTCGCAACTAACAACAATTCTTTGCTCACTACAAACAGAGTGGGACTCCTTCTAGTGGCATGCTTCGTTCCTCCCCACTGTCTATGACCTGTGTTATTCCTACATTATGTTGCAGATTTCATCTTAAATTATAGCTTTCCTTAGTTCCTCATCTAACAATCCAGAAAACAATGCTTTAGAATTTTTATTAATTATCATGAAAAGAGGGTTCTTGATACAGAAGGAGAACAGCAGCTACCAAACTACACATAGGACTTGTCTATGGAGATTCTCAGTAAATCCCACACATAGGATCCCATTAATGCAGCAGAGAAGCAATACTTCAGATAAAAGAATGACTGCCAATTATCTCCACTTAAATCCCACTCCCATTAGAGAATACCTTCCAAAATTGGCAAGGGGAATCCGTGCTTATTTCGCCAAATCTCAATCCTTCCTCCCTCCCCAGATGGCCTAATAATCTTGCAATGACCAACTTAATTGCTATTCAAAGTATGCACTTTGAATTGTGCCTGGAAACACAAGCAAAAATATGTCAGCTGATACACAGCCTGATTAATAATCTGGACAAGGGTGTTTTAGAGAGGTAGCGCCCCATGTAATACCCTGCAGAGGAAAGAGCATTATTGTTTGTTTGACTCAGCTTAGCAAATTGAAATGTGTGCCATTAAGCTAACAAACAACCCAGATGAGCTTTAACTCAATACTAACGAAGAAGGAATCCCACCCAATTAAAGCAGTCACATGAGCAACCACAATGGAGGAATGTGGGGGCTTTATTTCAGCTTTAATATCTCAGCATTATCTTTCATGAGAAGTGCCCTGAATCAAAAGCTGGAACACGGAAGAGGGGAGCAGAGGGGGAGGTAGGAAAAAGTAGGAAGGAAGGAATAACCACATAAATAGGGAGATTTTCAACTTGCCTTGTACTTATAGAGAGTTATTGACTAGATAAATCAAAAGCAGGAAAATGCAGCCATCCCTGGGTTTGAGACACCTTCATGTACTGCAGATTCTGCTTAACAGCCCCACTGATAAAAAGCCACTAAAAAGAAGAAGAATTAACTCTGCAGAGGGAAGTTTACGTCTGTGATTTATGAGAGAAATAGTGGAGGCTACAACTTGACAGAGAAGTGTAGCCAAAAGAGAATGAATTCCAGCTATTTGCTACACCTATTCCACCTTCTTCCAAAAAGCACAGTGCAATTATGATATTAGCCACACTCATGTTTTTCTAAATGCTTTCAACAATTATCCACCGCAAATGTTAAATCATTCCTTATGAGGATATACGTGGACATATATTGTGCTTGAAAGAGCCTACTACTTGGGTATTCAAAAGATGCATGAGCAGAGAAGAGAAACATCACCATTGCTTCCTTATCATGGACTTTGGTTAGTAATGATGGTTGACTGTTTGCATAAGAATGCCAACATTTGAATGCCCACCAGATTTGGCACTTTATGCAACTAGCAATGTCCTTGCAATTCAATTTACTTTCTAGACCTGGATACTCAAATAGTTAAACCTACAAAGAAGGAACAGGCAGAGGAAAGTGTGTGCCTTGCAATCCAATCAGTGTTGTGGTTAGAAGGGATGGGTTTAGAACCAAATGTCCAAACATGATTTTGAGATAAATGAATCACTCTGAATCAACATCAGGGGTCTTCAAACTTGGCCCTTTTATGACTTGTGGACTTCAACTCCCAGAATTATTCAGCCAGCGTGCCTGGCTGAGGAATTCTGGGAGTTGAAGTCCACAAGTCATAAAAGGGCCAAGTTTGAAGACCCCTGATCAACATTATGCAAATAAGAAAAAGTCCAGAAATGAAGGGAATTTTTTTTTTTTGAGGCTATTCTAGAAACTTCATCTCTGTTGTCATTTTTTTAAACTTAACATTCCAGACACAGGGAGAGATGAAGCATGGGGAGAAAAGGGTGGTTATATAGCCTCAAGAATGTCAATGTCTATGGAGAGTCTGAGTCATCCAGGTCATGGTTATCCCAAAGATGGTTTTTCAACAGGCAACTGGACTGTCTTGTTTTCCTTTGAAGACGTTTTGCTTCTCATCAAAGAAGTTTCTTTAGAGCTGAAGAAGCTTCTTGGATGAGAAGCGAAACATCTTCAGAGAAAAACAAGGCAGTCCAATTGCCTCTTGAAAAAGCACCTTTGGGGCAACAATATCAATGCCAACCTTAATTGGGTCACTGCAGTTTCTCTTTCTCTGTGAATCTCTTAAAAAAATTCTTTTTAAAAAAAAGACTGATGGCTACCTGACAGTTTCCCCATTTGGCATGTATAATTGTGTACTTCTGAAGTGCAGCAGTAGTTACTTGGGATATCAGCTGACCGGGCATCTGCATTTTGTCTAGAAAAAGTGCCCATCAAAAGTTTTCTCCTAGTGATGGACACATAACTCTAGTCTAAAAGAGGAGCCCTCAACACTCAATTCAGCATTGCCTCTGAACTATAACCACATTCCTTATGGAGTTAATGGTGAATCATTTTTCCCTAAGATTTCCCTTTAGTATTTGAGACTGCCACTTTCATTCTGTCAGTGAATCAGTTATGACTTACTACTAAGTACATTTACAAACTGAAGTCCAGCATGACATACATAACAAGCCAACAATTAGCACCAGTGAGCCCCAGTCATAATAGCCCAGATGTTCTGCTTTTTCTGAATCCTATTCTTTTTAATACAGCACATACTTGGGATCTTCCTGATTTTGTTCCATTAGTTTTAATATATACTTGTTTACACCACACAGTTGTCTTCCCAATATGAAGTTATTTGCAATCCCTGAACTAAAATACGTCCAGAAAACCTGTGATTTAGATTCCCCCCTACCTCTACCAGCATTGACTTCATTAAAGGGAGTGGGGAGAAAGGATTGATTTGTACCTTTCATTCCAAACTTTGATCGCCGTCCATATTTGTTGATCATAATAAATAGGACCACCAGGAGAACACAGGCAAAAGCCGCAAGACCCACTGCGATAGATACCTATAAAGAACATCCTGGATGTTAGAGGCTCTTGAATGCTCAAAATCACTTTGTCTTAATAGAAGTAATCTTATTTTTACAGTCACTGATGAGAATTCTGAAAGTAACTAAATGATTAAAATAATTAAACTGTCTTCATGTCAAATAAAGCAAGAACAACATAAATGTTATAAGTTTCTCTTACATATTAAAATGAAAGAGAAGCATATTTATATGCATATTTATATGATTCAGAGAGAAAGAAATAGATAAACTTAAGAAATACATGACAGTACAAGAAACCATCAGGAGCAAGGAAAAGAATAAAGCTATAGCAGAACAAGGAACATGCATTCAACTTTTTTCCCTGTTAAATTAATAACACATCCTTCAGAGGTAAGTATTAGAAAGGTTTGGCACACTGTTTAATTCCTTTAAAAAATCTAATTAAATATATTATTGCTCTAGAATTCAACTAATTGAGTTAAATACCTTCCAATATTTGAGCTCAATTATTATTGTGCCCTTTGCTGTTGGACCAAGTTGTCAAGTCATTTTATTTTGCTCATCCACCAATATAATATTCAAAAAAATATAATTACAGCCATCCCACTAAGATAATTATCGAAAGGTTACAAAAAACACTAAAATTTGGATCAATTGTACAAATTAAAATTTTAATACCATTATTAAGTTTTTGCTATTTATTTCCATTAAGGTGCTGCCCACCTCCAACAGAATCTAAGAGACTCACGGTGTAACAGTCTTAAAACTAAGATGGAAAGTTTCAAGTTTTAAAGAGAAAAGTGAATAGAGTGGAAATGTATATAATCTGGGCAAAAGTATAGAGATATAACTGAAGATAAATTTTAAAAGCTAACATGAATTATAAAATCACTATGTCACCAAGATCTACAGATAATAATCTATGTGTAAAATTAATATTGCAAGTATATGAATTATAACAAATGAATTATCATCATCATCATTTAATTTAATTTAAAAGACTCTAAAGGTACCAACTGCAATTCCTGGCTTTCTGCACTATTAAGAAGTCTACTACTCTTAAAGTTGCCAAGTTTGAAGACCCTTGATCTAGAACTCTGCTCCAGTTAGGTCTAAACAAAGGACAAATTGGCTAAAGAATTCTCTTACACTGATAAAAAAAATACATTTACAAAAACTGTCACATAATATAGATACAATAAATAGTGAAGGGAAACTAATATATATGTCTCTCTGTGTGTGTGTCTCTGTGTGTGTATATATCTCTCTGTGTCTCTCTCTCTGTATGTAGTTTTCTTAATACTCAACAGAGAGCATTTGTTTGGAGCCAATGATGGTCAAAGATATGGAGCTAATCTGAAACCTGGCATCAATCACTCCTGGGAACAAATTTCCATTTCCATTTGTACACCTTGGTGAACTTTCCTTCTGCATCAAAATAAGCAAAGGGGAATGAAGAAGCTGAAGGCAATTTAAATCAAAACATTATATATTTAAACCAACAGCCCTCAAAATGCCAAAGGGCTTATGATACTTTACAGGATAATCAATTCAGCTGGCAGACATTTTAAGGCAGCAAAGGACCACAGTCATAAATGGGAAGTACTAATAGGAAAAAAAAATGCATTATAATCAGTACAATACTTGTACCAGCTAAAGAAAGGCATTTTGTGATAGTTTTATCCAGAAGGGCAGTTATATTTAAAGCACCTGAATATCTTGACACCTTTAAGAGTCACCTTTATAAAACAGAATTTATGAACTGGAATTGGATTCATCTGATGGAGGAGATTCCTATTGTACAAGTGTTTGTGCCTTACTGAACATATTTGCTTTTAACAATCACAACCAGCCCTTCCCGAGATGTTAAAATCTTGTTTGTGTTGTACAGTAATTCTTGATATAAGAAAGGACTTGTGTAAGAGTGCCATTAGATTCATCTGCAAATTGTTAGGAAACATGATGTTAACCACTTGAGGGCATTTCACACATTCCAGATTTTGTAAAGGGTGAGTATACTAACAACTACAAATGAAGCAATGTGTAAGTGAGGTCAAGTCATTTTGACAAAGAGGTCTGCCATGTTGGCATATTTAGCAGAAAGACAAGATTTGCTGCGGCCCCAATCAAAGTGGGAGGCCCAGGCTCTCTGCCATGTAATGGGAAAAATGACCCACAGACAACATTCAAGGCGAACAACAGGAGAAGTTGTGTATAGCTGAAAAAGTTTTGCAAAGGGTGGAAAGATAGCAATGGGATCCATAAATAAGGCAGGAGAAAAGCAAAAGAGAAAAGAATGAAAATTAGTTTTGCTGGAGGCAGCTCAAATACTTCTGGTAAACATATTGACAGATAATTTACCCTTCATTTTTGGGTGCACAGAAAGACTTCTCTTAAAAGACCTACTCTTCCTTATTGAGAAAATATTCTTTCTACTCTGTGCTTTGATTGTAAACCCGACTTATTTTCAAAATAAAATACACATTGCATAAAATAAAGAGATGTTTTCTTGCTTGCAGGATATTGTCTTCTCCAGTCTGGAATAATCCTCATATTTTATACATGTTGTGTTTTATCAGATCTGCCTAGGTTGGTTGGGTTTTTTTTCCTGCTTTCTTTTCTACAAGTGGAAATGTTGGGGAGCCAAAACAGGCCAGGGGGAAGGGGAACTTAAGGAACAGAAACTGCATGCAATGCACATGAGCGCCACAGCAAAAACAAGATATGACATTTTTCTCTGCCCTGGTATTCTATTTGCTCATTCAACTATATTTTTCCCTCAGCATCTTTCTTCTCTCCAAAGTGGTAATACCCCAAGGAATTCTTGAGCATCTGTTTTTGCTGTGTTTATCAAATGGCCCTAAGAATGGGAAGACATGCTTATTACAAATCAGGTATGGAGGGTTAGCACACATTGTGTTCTACAAGCTGAATGCAGCCAAATGCTCAGTGGTTAGATTCATATACTACACTAAACTAAAATAGGCTTTGCAAGGTTACAGCCCTGTGAGTTGAAAGAACCTGGTGATAGTCTTCCAAAGTAAGATGAATCAGGTCATCGTGTAAGCCACCATATGGTTTACATGTTCAGGGATAGATGATGATGTGAATGCAGCAACCATATTCAGATTTAGCATAGAAGCCACCAGTTTATCCACCCACTTTTCTTTACATAGAATTCCTAGGCACTTAATTACATAATCCCTTTGCACCAATGTCAAAGAACATTCAGACCCAGATATGCTGCTTACCGGTCAACAATGAGGCAAAAATGAAGCCTTTTTCAATTACCATTAAAACAAATAAATAATCTAGGCATTAAATCAGAAAGGGGAGAAGGGAGAGGGATGAAGGGCAGGGGAGCAGATCTGGACTGCAAAAACTGTCCTTTACAACAGGACGACTTTAGGTTAGGAATCCGATTTATGACCAGTGGTGGGATATGTTGGGAACTGCAGTTCAGCAGTATCTATTTTCCCATCTGAAATATTGGCAATTGTCAAATTAAATTAACAGATCACAGCCCAGAAGAACCAATTAGCTAAAGACATTTGGTTCTCGCACTAGCCTGGATATAAGAGTGAGAGATGATGATGATGTTTAAAATATCAATAAAATAATATTTTATTTTGATTTCAACACCTTAAACCTGCTCATCTGCAAGTTCCTAGAGGGATCCAAGTCCTTATTTCAGTGTGAGTGTGTCTCTGTGTGTGTTGAATAGGATTCCATTCACTGGGAAGTCATTTTACTTTCATAAACGGGCAGTCCAACTTATTGACCTTCTGTGATTCCCATGCTCCTGAGAAATAAGGACGTATTTAGTTTCCTTCTTGAAATCAGGCAGGAAGGAGGACTCTTTGCAACTCAAAAAGGCATGTCTGATGTTCTTTCTCCCAAGAGCTGTCAAGCAATCTCCTTTCCTAGGAATACATTCTAAAGAAGAGTCCTCTAAAGGAGAATGATAGGATGATATTTGTTTGATTCTGCAATCATACACATGACTATGTTCTATCCAGCAGCACAGTGCTAGATCAACAACATGGAAGCAGCTAGTAAACCAGAGCCCTGGCCAGGATTATTGATGATATGAGTGAGTTAGCTGGGCTTTGACTTATCATCTCAAGGGAACCCAGTAATTGTGGTTCATATGATATTTCTGGGTAGACAAGGTGTTAAGCTGCGGTCCCACAGAAACCTCCAAAATATAAATCAGCGGTTCAGATAAAATTATTTCCCACTGTGAAGTCACAAAGATCTTACCCCAAGGTGTCTTCCTCTGGCTTATGTGTCACTGTGATAAGAGGGGAAGGGCTTGGACTGTACTCATCTGAAACCAAAGGAACAAAAGAAAAAAAAAGTTTATTTCACAGCTCAGAAAAAATTGTACATACAAGATATTGTATTTCACATGGTATGTATATAATATATGATTAACTCTTAGAAAAATCCCTGTTCATTCCTTCCTACACCTACCCCAATATTGTCTTATAATTTATTTCCTTCCCACATCCAGTTGAAGCATCCTGTACTTATGTTTTTCCCATTTTTTCCCCCTGCTCGCTACTCCAAGTTGTATTAATGAATGTTCTACTCAGGAAGCTTTTAAAACAGTCTCTTTATTTCTAGGTTGATGCTGTTATTTGGATACTCCTCTCTCTCTGCTGTCATATTTATCTCAATTAATGGTTCTGCTGATCTAAATTAGCAATCTCTGCCATCCGTTGGTGAAAAGGCACAGAGAAGTTTAAGTTAACATCTTTTTAGAGTAACACCCTAACCCAGGCATCCAATCAACTTTTAAAAAATAACAAAAACTAAAAGGATGCTGAATTAGAGTTGGAAGGACCAAGATGGGCTGTCTTGGCTGGTATATTGCCTTTGGACATGTAGATTCCAACTCTTGAACCAATGACTATCTCCATGTCTGATAGAAGTTCTAAATTTCAGTTGTCTGTCCCTGGGACAAGTTCTTTTTTCCTGCAATCTTGATTTGGATGAAAGAAGAAAGAAAGGGAGCCCTCTCTCTTTTCCTACCCCCCCCTTTTTTTTAAAAAAATGCTAACTTTAATCTGATGACAATTTACACTTGTTTGTCAAAAGGAGCATATCCACTTTTCAGGGGCTGTCATGTTTTCTTCTGAAATGATATACGGTAGCTTGTGTGTGAAACCTACAGCAAAATGTCACAGTATGGAATGTGCCTAGTCAGGTGACCAGCCAGCCATGCCTTTTCTCAATATTCTTTTCCCTTCACTCATCTAGCTTTCCCTTTCGTGATCAATGAGAAAAGGTAACATCTTCAACAGAGCTGTTTCTGCGTTCTCTCCTCCCTCCCTCACCACCCCTCATTTCTTTTATTTTTACTTCCATTAAATCCCAGGAAAAGCTGGTACTGTTTTAGCTATATAAGCACTCATAACCTAAGGAGCTTTCCCTTAACAAATTAGGAAATACTAGTGCAGGGGTAGGCAACCTTGGCTCTTTTATGACTTGTGGACTTCAACTCCCAGAATTCCTGAGCCAGCATGTTCTGGGAGTTGAAATCCCCCAGTCATAAAAGAGCCAAGGTTGCCTGCCCCTGCACTAGTGTGATCTGCAGAAAAATTCAACTGGATGAAAGAAAATGTGCTTTAAATCTTTTTTTTTTCCTCAATGCAAAAGAGAATGTCACTGAAATTCTCCAGATTGAAGTGTGCACTCTAGCTCTTTTTTCGTGATGAAGTGCTTTTTATTTTTCAATCTCAGTGAATTCCCAATATTGTTCCCATCTTCATGCCCGCCAATTCAGTTAGACTGTATTATGTGAGCAGGTTTAACGCCTGGCAGATGCAAGCTTCAAGATTAAGGCTATATGTCATCAAACTGAAGTTAAAAATGTTATCCAGAGGAGCTGGATTAAAACATCACCCCACGTGCCATCGTTTGGTTAGTTCTGGTTTCGCCTTAATTCATCCACGGTGGTTAGTTTACAACTTATTATGCAATGCAGAACCAATACAATGTGATTTGTTCAATAAGCCACAGGTATGCGAAGCAACTCCAGCCAAGATTGTGTGAAAGCACACAATTCATGCATAATGCATGCGCAGAATCTAATTCATTCCCCAATAGGAGACAAATCATTCTTCAAAGGGATGCAACACCAGATTCCCAAAAGTTAAAGACGAGCAATCCTTTCTCTTTGATCTACAGTATGTCAACATACAACATGGCTAGAGGTCTGATCATCAGGTTAAAGGGAGCAGTTATTTCAATCCAGTCCTCTCAGTGCTTTGATTGGGATGTCCTAAAACCTCTGTGTAATGAAGCACTTTGTCAAGGGAGATATCCACACAACTCACATGTTACTTTTAGCAAACCTGCTGCCTTTATACCAGGGGTCTTCAAACGTGGCCCTTTTATGACTTGTGGACTTCAACTCCCAGAATTCCTCACCCAGCAAGCTTGGCTGAGGAATTCTGGGAGTTGAAGTCCGCAAGTCATAAAAGGGCCACATTTGAAGACCCCTGCTTTATACCCTCAAAAATATTTGGGTAAGCAATCCAGAGCTACTGAGAAACAGGTGGCATATAACTTAATAAAATTATTATGTTCAATTTTTTTTCCTGATTTCTCCCAGGGATGTCCTGCCCATGGATCCCTACCTAAAATTTGTTCTTACTGTTCTAACAAAAACAAAAATCCTTGGTTAAAGGTCTGAATAATGCAGAGGAATTGTAGTCTGGTCAAACAGGCAAGGAAATAACTTACATGTGACAAAGATATCTGAAATGCCTGTAAAAAACAAAACAGAGATAAAGACGAAGGGAGGAGAGAGAGAGAGAGAAAGAGAGAGAGAATGGTTATTAGTATCATTGGAGAACAATTGTGATGCTATTAGTAAACAGTAAGCTACTGGCTGAATTCCGCTTCTCTGATTTAAAAGAATTTTCAAATAAGTCTTGAAATAGGGTATATGAAGGCATATGAAGGGGTGGGTGTTGAGTAGGAAGTAGCCCCATGCCCTAATTTACAGAGGACATTACAGACAACATTCCTCTATAAAAAAAATCTTCTGTTTTAGAAGGCTGCTTCAGATCTGATTTACAAAATAATGGGAGTTAAAGGAGCCCAATTTAGCTATCAATTGTTAATATTTAATAATCAGGCACAGTCTTCCCCATTACAGGATAGTGAACTAAAATCTTATTTAAATTATATTAGCTGCATTAAAATCTACCATATGCAAGAGTCATCCCCTTTAATTAATAATTATATATTCAAGATGGACAATATTTAATATTTATTGCTACGTATATATAGGGATGTGGGTCTATACATATGTTGTACATCGTATGTTTTAGGTGTGTGTCATGTATGTGTTTCACTTTGAGAGCGGGCAACTAAATTTCATTTTTGATGTGTGCCATTGTGCCCACAGTATAAAAATGACAATAAAGGTTATCTTATCTTATCTTGTCTTTTTAGAAGTGGTATGTAAGTAGCTATACTTAAAGTATTCCAAGCTAATTAGATGCAGAGTGGAATTCAGGGTGCGTATTTGGTCTCCAAACCAAAAACTCTGCTTATCCGTAGAGCTTAATATTGGAGTGTCCAATCTTGGCAATTTTGAGACCTGTGGACTCCCTAAATTCCGCAGTCAGCATGGGGAAATGGTTTCAAAACAACACATGCTATTTGTGTGAATTGCACCTTAGTTAGAAGCTTATCTGCCCAGAAATTCTAAATGCATTTTTCTCTATCTTAACAACTTCTTCAACCATAAGATTTGGATTTTTAATCCGCTCTATATATCATTAATAAGGTTCCATGAAGACAAAACACAAATAATAAATCAGGGTATCTCTGGCATTGTGCTTTCCCTATATTACAAAATGTCAACTTTTATTGTGGGAGGTGACTAATAGGTGCTCTGCATTCTTATGACAGCAGGCCAGATGGTAATATGCATGTCTAAATGCCTGAAAAAAAAAACAATTCCACTAGGACTTTCTTAAGATAAAAAGAAGAAAGCAATATGTAAATCCTGTTGCTTTAGCTACACGGCAACCTCATTTGTTGAAAAGAGAAAAAGGTGTTAATTCTGGACTCTTATTCATGCTCTTATAGACAGAGCAACTTTTTGGGGGGCAGTTATTCCTGCATAGAAGAGCAGAATTACAGAATAACGAAGTTGGAAGTGACCTTGGAGGTCCTCTAGTCCAACAGGAGACCCTATACCATTCTGGACAAATGACTATCCAGTCTATCCAATGATGAAACACTGACAACTTCTGGTAACTTCTGGAGGCAAACTGTTCCACTGATTAATTGTTCTCACTGTCAGGAAAGTTCTCCTTAGTTCTAGGTTGGATCTTTCTTTGAAAAGTTTCCATCCATTCCTTCTTGATTTTCCCTTTATGGGCAACTGGACAAAAGATTGCTTAGTCGGTCATCCAACTTTCAACAAGAGCCAGCCAGATCATCTCCAAACAGCTGACCTACTGATAACGTTCCCCATTTATGTATCTCCCCGGATCCACTACTCAAAGGTATTATCCTTCTGAACATGGAAGTTCCATTTAGTTACTGCATCAAATAGCTCTAATAGGTTTGCCTTCCATTCATTACCAAAACCCCCCTTTTAAAGGTCATCCACAAGGAGACCCTTCCTCACAGGTTGCGGTGATGAATTCTATCAGTTAATCGAGGGTATGTGGCGTTTCATTTTGGAAATTTAACTTTAATATGATCCAATCAAACTCTTAATCAACTTTCCGAATCAAAGCAACGATTCAGTTAAAATTGTCAGATCAAATCAGATAGTCTGGATGTCTTTTGTACATGCACTTATTAGTATCTGGAGTGGTTCAGTTGAAACCAGATTTGATCCAGTAGCTTCAGTTTTTATTTTGGGGCAGGGAGATAAGAGTTAGATCTGGGTTATGCTGTTTACGATAGCTTTTCAAGTGGGGCCTTCTCCAAGAGATTTGGAAACCAAGAATTGAAACCCTAGCCGGGCATGACTCATGTGTTAGTGAGATTTGTTAGGAAAAGGAGGAACAGAAGGAGCACCATCACCGTTCAAGCCAAGAGGAATTTCTCTTTTCTTCTACTTGGAAAAAAGCTGCAAAATCTTCCTCAGTAACAGAAACACTGTAGTAAATTATTTACTACAAATGGCACTGAAGGCAAAATTAAATTAAATTAAATATTCACATTGTACTGTTCCACTTTGGTTGTTGTCCTAATGTTATTGCTTATTCATTCATTAGGGATACTTCCCACCTTTCTTTCGGGAGCTGAATTTGTTCTTCACAGTAACCATCCTTTAGAGGTAGGCTAGGCTAGGCTGAGAGACAATAACTGGCCTAGAATCAACACTCAGTCGCTGGGCTCAGTCCTCATCTTTGGGGGGGGGGAGTCCATTCCATAGAGAAGAAATTAGGTACTCCACATTGCATGTAAACAAACTTTATTATGTGCTGTAAAGAAATTTGATGTGCACTTAGAGTTACACAGTGCAAATAGAGTAATTTTTTTAAAAACCCAAGTGGAGCAGCACAATATGAATATTGCATATTGTCTAATTGGATCCTCCTATTATAAAGCTTCCTTTATGTTTTGCATTTATATGTCTCAACCAAAATGTAATATAAGCACTCACCCCTTTAATTCTCAGCATTACTCTTGAAATGAAGGAGGCTAGCCCCATATCATTTCATTGGTTAGATTTATACCCCGACTTTCAACAAAAGCTCAAACTGATGTTCATTACAATCTCTCCATAAGTTTATCCCCATATTAAAAAACAAACAAACATCTGGGATGGGATGGGTTGGGCCAAGAGGCAATGATGGTCCAAAGTTCTCAGTTGAACTTGCATGATTGAGGCTGAACATCAATTTAGTTTCCCCGCTAACCATGCTGACTTTGGAGTACACAGATGTCATCATTTAAAAAATTGCATTTTTAAAAAAGTGCACTTGTAACCCCTATATATATATATATATATATATATATATATATATATATATATATATATATATTAAAAAGATACAAAAAAGCTTGCCCGCCCCTTGCTATAAACTTGTCAATCTCTCACTTGGAAATGGTTTCTCCAAAAAATGTCCTCTGACGGTCTGGTTGGCTGTTCCCAAGTAGTTGGTAGCCACGATGGTGTAGTTGCCATTGTTGTAATGAGTGGGATGGTTGAACAGCAAACAGCCATCTGTGATATCCCCACCCTGGTAGACATCCATGTGGATGAAGGCCGTCTGTCTAAGAAACTGGCCATTGTACAGCCAATGAATTTGGGGTGGAGGGTTCCCATGCACCGAAAACTCAATACAGTGTTCCATATGCCGAATAGGTTCCAGTAGGCTGAGGATACGGGGAGGAGCTAAATAGTGGAAGAGAGAGGCAAACAAACATTAACGGTCGTCCAAAAGTGTTAAGGAGGAAAAAAAATCACAGATGGACCATGTTTTCTCTAAACTCTGTTGAAAGCACAACTGGATTCAACTTTCAAATAGTCAAACATTCCATTTGTACTTTAAGATCATGTAAAGTCTCATCTGCAATATATTAAAATATACATTTTCCTAACAAGGAAGGAAGGAAGGAAGGAAGGAAGGAAGGAAGGAAGGAAGGAAGGAAGGAAGGAAGGAAGGAAGGAAGGGAGAAAGAATTAGAAAAGGAGGGAGGGAGGGAGGGAGGGAGGAAGGAAGGATTAGAAAAGGAGGGAGGGAGAGAGGGAGGGAGGGAGGGAGGGAGGAAGGAAGGAAGGAAGGAAGGAAGGAAGGAAGGAAGGAAGGAAGGGTGGGTATTAAGTTGGGGGTGCTTTGCATCTAAATTTCCCTGAATGGCAAACAGTTCAGCTCCTGATAATATAGGCTGGGAAAGCTGTGGCCTACATATGATATGAAACTTGCTTGATTTTTTATGAGCAATGCAACAGAAAATAGAGAAAATAAACCTGGAATCAAAGATTTCAAACTCTTTAAATTATAGCATGATGATATACTGCAAGGGTGGACAATGCCATGGCCTAAATGGTACATATCCTTCTCCAAGGTTGGGTTACCAAAATTAAGTGGCAAAACCCACAGATTCCCCCACCTTTCTTTTGCAGGTTTTGTACAGAAATAAGAAAATAATATTGCATTTTAAAATCGTGGAAAAATTGCCAACACTGTCCTGTTTCTAGCAGTTCTTGAAACCTATGTAAATGTAAACAATGTGGATGTAAACAAACCATGGCCTAGTCACAACAAGGAAAAAGCCCATTCCTTAAATATTTCAGTACAGTTTGGTATATGCAATCAACTGAGTTTACATAATGCAGCTTTAAGTCATTTGATAGGACTATCAATATTATGGACCATTCAGATCCTTTTCAATATTTCATTTATTGCTTTCTTGCTACACACGGGTAGAAATCTACATTTATACTACTGTGTATAAAAACAGGCTGTACGGGATTCCATAGGCATTCTGTGGAGATTTCTGCCACTCACATGATCCAGAAAGGCAAGTAAGTACATGCATATTAGCACAGATTTCCAAGGATATGACTCATCTCATTCAAATGTTAGAGCCTTCACCCAAATATAAGTCTCTTCACTGTCAAATTCTCAGACTGAAAGCCACAGTGGACCAGTTAGCATGCCACAAGAGAAGCTTCAAAAAGGAAAAGTGAAGCTACATGTGCATTTGAAGTCTACTGGCAGCTTAATGCATCTTTTTAATTTTTACTTGCTGCCAAACTCAGCAGGCCATTACTATTAGAAGTGAGCAACGCTTTTTCAGTCTGACAGCTGCACTGGGAATTTCATTAATATGCTGAGTGAAAGTTGTATTAAGTCTACGTTGGGATGAAGAATCTGAGGTCCTTCAGATGTTTCTTAACTACAGCTCCCAGAAATCCCAACTGGAAGCAGGCTTAATGTTGGATTGATTTCTGATGCTGGGAATTGCAGTTCCACAACATCCAAGGGCCACCTTACTCTATGCTGTAAGCTGGCCATTGTAAGTACTAATATTGCTCTTCCATTTTTCATCCTAATAAATCCTGGAAGAATCTCAACATACTTGCAAGAAATGTCCCAGGTCTCAATACACACACATATTTTTTTAAAGGACAGGTTCTCCAGCTAAGTTCTGACTCAGGAAAAGTGCACAAAATCCTCCCATAATGGAATTTTCCCTCTTTGAACCCATCTCTTCTCCCCTCCCCCATTGACTTACAGTATACAGTGAGAAGTACGCTGGCATTAGACATTCCTACCACATTCTCAGCTATGCATGTGAGCAGGAACCCATTGTCTTCACTGGTTACATTCACCAGGGTTAAATTGATGGAATGAACATTAGTCCAGTTGGCATTTGTCTGAAAATCACCAGCAGAAAGATAGTTAACATCAAATAAATAAGAACTGATCCCACCTCGACTGAATGTCCCAGAACAGCCTTGCCCAAATAGATGAGATTCAACTGACATCAGTTTGTCGAGTGATTGTTCAAAGTTACAATGGCACTGAAAAAGAGTGACTTATGACTGTTTTTCACACTTACGACCGTTGCAGCGTCCCCATAATCACGTGATCAAAATTCATCTGCATGGCAACTGGTTCATACTTTATGACTGTTGCTGTATCCCAGAGTCACGTGATCTCTTTTTGTGACCTTCTGACAAGCAACGTCAATGGGGGAAGCCAGATTCACTTAACAACCATGTTGCTAACTTAACAACTGCAGGGATTCACTTCACTGTAGCAAGAAAGGGGCAAAATGGGGCAAAATTGACTAACAACAGAAATTTTGGGCTCAGTTGTGGCTATACGTTGAGGACCACCAGTATATTCCATAAATCTGAAAAGCATCCAGATTGGAGCACACGGCTTTAAAGCACAACATTAAACTTTTTATAAATACCCCAAACCGTCTGAAATTAAAGGATGAAAGAAAGAAAAACCTTTGACATGATTCCCCAGGTAGGCAGAATAATTGTTTGAAATTCTTTTGGGGAAAAAAGCAAGGGAGCTTCGTTATTATTAAGCAAAAATCAAGAACATTGGGGCATAAGCTCAAATTGACAGGAGGGAAGTTCCGAAGTCATGTTAGGAAGTGTCACTTTACAGAAAGAGTAGTGGAAGCTTGAAACCAACTTCCAGAGGAGGTAGTGGATCAAAAATCAGTAACTGAGTTTAAACACGCTCGGACCAAACACATGTCCATCATCCAACAAAAATAAAAATAATATAGGAAGGAAGGAAGGAAGGAAGGAAGGAAGGAAGGAAGGAAGGAAGGAAGGAAAGGAAGGAAGGAAGGAAAGGAAGGAAGGAGAGAGAGAGGAGGGAGGGAGGGATGAAGGAAGGAGGAGGAGGTAGGGGGGAAGGAAGGAAGGAAAGAAGGAGGGAGGGAGGAAGGAGGGAGGGAGGGGGAGTGAAGGAAGGAAGGAAAGAAGGAGGGAGGGAGGAAGGAAGGAAGGAAAGAAAGAAAGAGGGAGGGAGGAGGAAGGAAGGAAGGAAGGAAAGAAAGAGGGAGGGAGGGAGCGAGGGAGCGAGGGATGAAGGAAGGAAGGAAAGGAGGGAGAGAGAGCGAAGGAAGGAAGGAAGGAAGGAAGGAAGGAAGGAAGGAAGGAAGGAAGGAAGGAAGGAAAATGAACTCAAAGGGCAGACTTGATGGACCACTAAGTCTTTCTATGTTGTCAGTTTTCTATGTTTCAATTTAACTTTATCTTCTTACCTGATGCGTGTTGATAGAGCGCAGGTTGACCACAATCCAGTCAACATCTGGCAAAGGAGAACCGGACCCATTGCATGTGATAACAGCATTTTCACCTTCACAGACGGTCAGATTCACATGGCTGACACTGATCTCGGGCAAATCTGGAGGAAGCCAGCCAACATCAACATGGTTATGTCAAGAGATGTTTAACCAAAGCAGATCAACATAAATTACAACCCTCATTTTCCTAAACTGGTTTTAAACCTAATCTGACTTACAACGTTGTAAACTGAGAGCCTGGGGAGACGTAAAGTATTTTATACTTCCCATATTTCTACAGCGTTGATATGTCTCAGGGAGAAAATTTATTTTTCTACTACCCTTGTACTGGAAATCCCAATTTAGGTAAGAGATGCTGGACATATTGCAGTACACTATGTTCGCAATTATGTACAACCGCAGTAGAGTTGTCTTCATTCTTAACCACTGTACAGAAATGGTAGTGAATGCTAATGGATCTTTTTGTTTTTCAAGAATCCTCATAAAGAAAAATGTACAGCTGAACTCCATCTAGACACATTCAATCCAAATAAAACCTTTATTTCATATAAGGACTAATAAGGATAAGAAGCTGATAGTTAGAAGGCTATAGAATGTTCCCCATATAGCAACAATAGCCATCCTGGCTACAATAAACATTGTTTTAAAAATCCATAGATGCAAACATGACATGACAGTTGGCTACATGAAGCATTCCTTTAAGGTACACAAGACTCTTTGTTGGAGAATATTTTTTTTTATAAATAAAGAAATCATTATTTACTAAAGCAAACCAACTAGGCTGGTCTTCTGGGAACTATCACAAAGTGTGCAACTTTGTCAAATTACCAATAACTCTTCATCAGGCAAAATAATTAAGAGGCCTGGAAAAAAAGGGGGGGGAGAAGCAGCAGGAAAACACGTGGCTGATCTTAAAGTCGCATCTGTCCTAGATTAAATTCTTGATACAGTGAATGTCAAATTGAGTTTTCTTGGGGATCATGGGTGGCTTTTCTAAAGCTTTCTGGAAAAGATAAGTAGGTTTGTGCAAATTCACCATCTGGGAAAATATGCATACACCTGTTTTCACAGTTGCCATTCTTCGTAAGGTGCATAGATCCCATAGTTTACAGCTAATCCTTGACCGACAACCAGCCATCTAGTGAATGTCCAAAGTTACAACAGCACTGGAAAAATGATTTATGACCATTTTTCACACTTACAACCGTTGCAACATCCCTGAGGTCACACGATCAAAATTCAGACGCTTTGCAACTGGTTCATCTTTGTGACCGTTGCAGTGTCCCAAAATCATGTGATCCCCTTTTGCGCCCTTCTGACATGCAAAATCAATGGGGAAGCCAGATTCACTTAACAACCGTGTTACCAATTTAACAACTGCAAGCAGTTTACTTAACAACTGTTTTGCTTAGCCACAAAGGTCTTGGGCTCAACTGTAGTCGTAAGTCAAAGACTATCTGTACATGGCCAAAGCAAAACACCATAGCTTCTTCACCCCACTCTTTAGAAACTATTCCCCTATGCAAGAGGTAGGCAACCTTGGCTCTTTTATGACTCGTGGACTTCAACTCCCAGAATTCCTCAGCCAGCATGGGGGAACTATGGCCCCCTCATGCAACTCCCAGAATTCCTGAGCCAGCATGGCTCAGCATGGAAACCTCTCCCTTTCCCCTCAGCATGGCTGGCTCAGGAATTCTGGGAGTTGAAGTCCACGAGTCATAAAAGAGCCAAGGTTGCCTACCCTGTTTTGCTTTGAGGAGATGTCTTATTACCAATTGAAGCTTCCTTTATTTTATTACCAATTGAAGCTCCAGGCAGACACACACATCCAGAGAGAAACTTCAACAATATATTTTAAAAAGAGTGCAACCCATGCAGGAGTCCAGAACTCTGTTCCCCCTTTTCTCCTGCATTTTAACACACTCACATCTCAATCATGTTTCCATAGCAACTCAACATGCTCAATTCCTATTAAACTGCTTTAGAATCACCTTTTTCCTCCTTCTCCATGTTTCCTTCCTAAATAATTGTTATTTTTTTTTTCTTTGAAATCTCCAGATCAACTGATACCTCTTCTCTTCCAGGTGGGGGGTGCCATTTTGACTGTCTAAACAGCATCCATCACAGCTTGAGTATGAGAAGTAGAGAGAATAATTTAGTAACTGGGGAGTCCTCGGTGTTCTCTGAGCTTGATTATTTGCTTGCAGATGTTTTATTACCTAACTAGGAAACATCATTAGTGCTAGTCTATCATCCACGATGTTACCCACCTAGATAATGAAACAGGTTCAAAGAACACAAGGGACTCCAGAGTTCAACCTGAGTTATAGAGATTAGAGTTTAGTAAGCTAGCCTCCACTCAATCATGGAGACACAAGCTTGGATAGAGAAAGCTAAGAATCGCTTTCACACTGGATTACTCACACAAACAAGAAGAACTCCAATTAAGATGGAAGTATCTAAGCAAGGAGAGCTTGCCTTCCAGTTGTCTTGGGGAGAACTACAGGGGCAGGCAGAGATTGAAATTTATTACCTTGCTTAGGAAATTAATGTTCATAAATCCACTCCAGGTTAGAGCAAGTAATGTTTTCCCAGTTCACCTTTGCTGTGGATTCAGTGGTCTTAAATGGTCCCTTCCAGCTTTAAACATTTATGATTTCCTCCCCCAAAAAACAGATCTTCTTTGAAATAATACGCGAAAACAAATTCTCATAAATCAAATTAAATGGCTCTCTGGTGGAAATATTGTACTGGAATTCTGGTCATCAATATAATATACCAAAGAGATGTAAGCACGAATCTCTTTTTCTCTTAATTTAAATTGATACAGGAAGATACGGGTGTCCTTGGAATTAAGATGCTTGAATTGAAACAGTTTCCTTGGCAACAGGGATCTCTTTACTATCATCCCCTATTTTCATGCTTAAGAATGGCTCTCCTTACAAGCCACCCCTCTTTGATGGGGTTGCTTTTGCTCCCCAGCAAATCAAATCAAAGCAAAACAGAACAAATGGAAACTCTTTTCATTTGACTTGAACCTAGACAGGTTTTTCAGTATATTGTTCTGTTTTCCAAGAGCAACAGCAAGAATTAATCTGTTCCTATCAAAGCTACCCTTACTTGGAACTTCATCATTGTCAAGGGTAACTCGAAGGCTACTGAAATTATTTTCTCCTTTTAGGAACTGAAACTGCACTCAACAGCTCTCATGGGAAAGTCAAGGACTTGGCTTGAGTAGATATTTTTACTGCCGATAGTAAACACTTCTAGTAACAAAGATCAGCTTCTACAGACTCTAGGAATGTCATCATACATATTTCCATGGGTTCAAAAGTTTAAATACTGAATTCACAACAATAAATATTATTATTCTATCTTATCAGCAAACTGTAAAACTAACACAGAGAAAAGAGTAGGACATATTCGTAATAAATCACCACCCCTGCAGTCAATCCCAATCTAGGGTAGTCTATCCTTTTCAATAAGGTCTTTCATACAAAAATGGCAATCTTGCTAATTTTGTCACCCTTTCAGATTATTTTACATAATGATCTGTCAAGCACACAGAAAAAAAAAATCAGGACCATACATTAAGTTGCAGTTCAGAAGATTTATTGTCCAAGCCTATAAATAAGAATCTAATTAACTAAAGTGCAAGACTAAATTGGTGTCAGATAAATGGATTTCAATAGGGGTTGGACTTAAACCATTTGTGGGAATGTAAGGACTCTAGGCTGATTACCTGCTTAATTCCACCTCCACCCCCAGCTCTGCCTGACCTTCTCTTACATGATCCTTGTTTTCTCCCAGGATGCTTGTTTTCCATCTTGCTACCTCCAGCCTTCATTGCCATAGAAATGCACACATGCGCATGTTCTCAAGAATTTAGCATCTAATATCTATATCCTTCCATCTACTTCCCAAAGCATATAGTTCGGTCATAATTTTAATTAGTATTTTGCTTGGAGTCAGAAGAGTTACAACTTTCCTGGTCCTGATAAAAATCTACCCAGGATTAATATTAATTAAACAAGAAAGACAGACATGAGCATCAAAATGTAATTTGAACCTTTATAGGAAGGAAGGAATCTTAATTCTTGCACCAAGAATTCTTATCTTACTCTGTTCTGTTTTGCTTTTTATTTGATGCATAAGCTGAGATATATACAGTATTTGAATATTTGAAAGCATCCACTATGGGTGGATCCACAGTGCATTAGTTTCACTTTGGAATTAAGACCAGGCAGTGTAGAATTCCAAGATCTGGGGACAAATCTGGAAGGGAATAATTTTAGAAGCATTTCTCCTTATGTATTATTCAAGTGCTATGTGAGGACTTTTACCCAGAGGCAAATAAATGAAACTGGTAGCCATGTATATCATTGATGTTCTGGTTCTTATCTTTTCCATCTGTTCTTTAAAAAAAAAAAGAACAAGAAAGAAAGCCACATGCAATTCTAGAATATACGGAGGAGAGCCACAAAGATGCAGCTGTTCAAAATCTCAGGAGATTCCTAATAAATAGGTTTGGCTGACACACAAGGTGGTAAAGCCAAAGATACCTTGATGAGAGGACCAGAAAAAAGCTGCAACTGCTACTAAAAAATAAAAGATAGCAACAGTATGCATAAGCACATCAGTGTATACCTGTGCAGATTAGACAGAAAGTTATTTGAGAAATTTGAACTTGGGAGAAGAAATTGATCTGAACTGTGCTTCCTAAAGAAATGGGCAGATCCAAATTCATTTATTAATCTGCTTTGAATGCATCCAAACATTCCAGGGAAGTTCTTAGCTCAAAAATAGAAATAGTAAAAGATATTTTAAGTTATGTATTTTAGAAATTCATATTTAAGTGTGTGAGAGAGATGATAGAGAGAGAGAGAGAGAGAGAGAGAGAGAGAGAGAGATAATAAATGGGAGGGATGAATGTATGTGAAATGAAAATGGACCAGAAGTTCATTGGTGCAATCAATGAATCAATTAGAGATGTGGGGAAAAGGATTTCTCTAATTATTTTAGAGCAGATTTTTCTCCTAGTCTCTTGAAAAATTAATAATTCTCTATGCACCTCAATTTTGTAATGCTTATTCACCAATGTATATCACTCAGTAATAATTAGCAGGAAATAATAATAATCACTGCACCCCACTCATTTGCCATTCTCCCCAGTTTTCCAGACGTAATCAGGTTTGCGTGAGCCCTTGCAAACCCATATACTGCAGTATTTTTGGATTTTCAGGCACAGTAATTACAACTCTGTACACACACACACACACACACACACACACACCAATATTCCTGCAATTGTGGAGTTATTTGAGCATGCTGATCCTCTCTGCATTGATAATGGTGCTATTTGGTCTACGTGAGCAATGACTCAAAGCCTGAAAATCAGAAGTAGAAGGAAAGATAACAATGCTGGAAGATCAACAGGTGCCCAATTATATACACTTCCTTACCACACTGGTTGATATTCAGCTCCTGTATGTGTATGTGACTGGTCTCCATGCTTGTGCAGTACAAGTCCTGGTTCTGCAAATTGGCTTCTTCTCTCTCCTGCCACAGCTGGATCCAACGGATATCACAGCTGCAGTTAAAAATATTATTTTCCAACTTCCTGCGTAGAAAGAGAAAGTTTAGATTGTGAGAAAAGAGAAGCAAAAGGCAAAATACCCAGTTCCATAGCCCAGTTCAGATATGACATGAAGGTGAGGATAATGTAAAACTCTGATTCATTTAGCACCCACCTCCATGATAGTAAACCTAACTGTATAACAGGTATTGATAGGTATTGATTGACATTCTCCATAGAAAATTTTAGAATTTTTCATTTGTGCTATAGAATAACAGAGTTGGAACGGACCTTGGAGGTCTTCTAGTCCAACCCCCTGCTCAAGCAGGAAACCCTATACCATTTCAGACAAATGGTTGTCCAATCTCTTCTTAATCAACAATGATTCAGATTAATCAACTAAACTTCAGTTGATTAATCTATTGGATTCGATGGGAAACCTCACAGCCATTACTAGCTTAGTGTGCCGATAACAGTACTGGGGAGGATCAAAATGAGACCATCATTACTGAATTATCTTTACTGAATTTAAGTCTTAGCTTTCCCCCCCCCCCCTTTGAAATATCTCCTGTTTCTTGTTCTAAACACCTTGACATTCATAAGGTCATGCAGGGATCATGAGTTTTCATTTAGCTTGTCTCCTCTTCTCCTTGCCCAGACATGCTCAATAAATTCAGGACTATATCCATAATACCCCTGTCTTAATGCATTGACGATGAGCTCCTGCTGCTTAAGGAGATGGGGCAACTTACAAGCCATCATGCAATTTAATTGAATGAAGCAGCCAACTTTGTATATTGTTTGACCTCATTGACCCAGCTGGCAATGCTGATGTTTTAATGTATTTTGTTTAAAAGACACTTACATTTTATATACTGATATTTTTTTATTATTATTGATATTTTACAACTAGCAGCATTGCTGTATGCCTGAAAGTATATTTGCTTTCCCTTAAGAATTTACAGTTTCCATGCAAAAGATAGTGCTGATAGATCTCTTGTGGGCATCTAGAAGCCAAAACAGAGTATTTGAATACTGGTAAAATGTTCAAAAAGAAGCAGAAGTAATATTAAAAATAATAGGAATGACAGGAAACCAAAAACAGTGCCCAAGTTGGCTCACTTTCTTTACCCGTGTTTCCCTGAAAATAAGACCAGGTCTTATATTAATTTTTGCTCCAAAAGACCAGAAGGCAATGGTTGGAAACTGATCATGGGCGCTCAATCACTGGAGGTTTTTAAGAAGAGACTGGACAGCCACTTGTCTGAAATGGTATAGGATCTCCTGCTTGAACAGGGGGCTGGACTAGAAGACCTCCAAGGTCCTTTCCAGCTCTATTCTATTCTATCCTGGTTAGGGCTTATATTCAGGAAAATACGGTACTAAATGCATCCATCTGGCTGCCGATCTTAACTGGGGCTTATACAGTACTATGAGCATCCTGAAAAATCATGGTAGGGCTTATTTTCCGGTTGGGTCTTATTTTGGGGGAAATAGGGTATCAGTTTTTTATTTTCTTCTCTTTCTTTGCTATGAACTAGAGCTGGACCAACTGGACTAGGGATGGTTATAATGCCAAATGAAAGGCAGGGTGAGAACAGTATTGGTGGTTTGAAACCACATATTGAGTTTTATCCTGAAGGCAGAAAGAGGCTTAACTTTCTGTTTACTGAGTGTATTTAGATCTTTTCTTTCTTTCTTTCTTTCTTTCTTTCTTTCTTTCTTTCTTTCTTTCTTTCTTTCTTTCTTTCTTTCTTTCCTTTCTCTCTCTCTTCCTTCTTTCCTCTCTCCTTCCTTCCTTCCTTCCTTCCTCTAGCTAGCTAGCTAGCTAGCTATCATCTATCTATCTATCTATCTATCTATCTATCTATCTATCTATCTATCTATCTATCAAAATTTATTTGCCACCTATCTCATATCCAATAATTCTGGGCTACTTACAGCATAAAACATTGAAGCAGAAAAGTCAGTCATTGAATACAGCAGATTCTATAGCATCATACTATTTTATACTCAGTTCGCTATGTTTGTTCCCTTTAAGTATCAGGAAACACAGCCACAGTATTTTCAGCTCTTTAATCCAAGAGACTGTTATTTTATTAACAGCCAGTGCAGTCTAGTAGACAAGGTGTTGAACTGGGACTAGGGAGACTGGGATCCAATCCCTATTTTTCCGCAAATTTCACTGGTTGATTTATGGAGCCTACTATTACTTTACTCCAATCTTTTTCTGAGGATTGCTGAGAGATTATAATCTGGAAGATCCACTTTATATACCCCTCTGAACTCAAGAAAGATGGAATTAAATTTAATGTGAAGAAGAAAGAGGAAGCCATAGGAATAAGACAAGAAAATATCTTGGGCTGAATCAGTGTTTCTAAACTTGGTAACTTGAAGATATGTGAACGTCAATGCCCAGAATTCTCCAGCCAGCCCTCTGGAGTTGAAATCCATACTTATTCAAGTTGCCAAGTTTGAGAAACATGGTTTTAATTGGAGGAATCCCATAATTTGGAGCCTAGTTCCCTTTGCTTGCCAAGTCTATGTTCTGCCCCGTAGCAATTGTCCTTGCAAGGGTTTTTCCTACTTCCCTGAATTTATGCATGGACTTAGCGCTGTAGACAATTCCAAAGTAAAAAATAAAGATATTATAAATACTTTCCCCTAAAACTGGCCTGCTAGGGAGAGCTGCTATTGCAACCCTTCAGAAGCAGAACTGTAAGTAATATAACACAGCCTTTTGGATCATTCCTAATGCATGAGATTCTCCTATGAATAATGTAAAAACCCCACGCTGGAGAAAAGGGATTCCTCCATTGGCTTGGCCTAGCAGTATTGATAGTATAATGCAGCTAATGGCAATACTTAAGGGGGCTTTTGTGCAAATTAACTCCCAGCTTTTTACTGGACATAGCACATGTTTAATAGTGTACTAGTGTTCTTCTCCTTTGGGACTTAACCAATGTTGAGTTTCTTCTTTTTTTTAACATATATATCGCTTGGTCACCTCCTAAGTAAATATAAGGAGAGGGTGAAAGGGGAGTGCTTCGCTTAACACTGCATTCGGTGTGGTAGGACTGATCTACAGGTACTCCTTGACTTACAACAGCTTGTTCAAAGATACAATAGCCCTGAAAAATGTGAGTTACGACCGTTTTTCATAGTTACGACCTTTGCAGCATCCCTGTGGTCACGTGATCAAAATTCAGAGGCTGGGCAATGATGTAACAACGGTTACACTGTCCCGGGGTTATGGGATCCCCTTTTGTGACATTCTGACAATCAAAGACAACGGGGAACTCAGATTCGCTTAAGAACCGGGTTCCTAACGTATCAACTGCCAGGATTCACTTAACAAACTGTGGCAAGAAAAGTCGTGAAATGGGGCAAAACTCACTTAATAAATGTCTCACTTAACAACAAAAATTTGGGGCGCCATTGAGGTCATAAGTCAAGGCCTACCTGTATTTCACCTCCACACTTAGTTTGTGCTGTGGACAAGATCTTCTCTACCTCACAAAGCATTTAGAAAATACTAGCCATCTTTACCGGCAATCCCTTCTCAAAAGACAAACATTCAACACACATTCAGGTAGTCTTCAGCTTATGGCCAGTTGCTTAGCAACTGTCAGACGTTATGATGGATCCCCTCCCCAAAAGAATATCCAATTTTGAAGTTACACTGGTCACACTCCCTCCCCCACGGTCACATGATTGCAATATGGATGCTTGGAAACCGGATGACGTAACACGACCACATTTTAAACATTTTGTTTTGCTGGTTTCCTGCATTTACTTTCAGTTTCTGAAAAGAAAAAATTCATTAGGTGTAATGGATTTGCTTAATGACGTGGCGTTCACTTTATGAGTGCCACAAAAAAATGTGATAAACTCAATCTATAATTGAGCTCAGAATTATAGTCATAAATCGAGGGCTATCTGTAGAAAAGTCACTTTGAACCGTGAGATGGGCAGCAAATGAATTGGATAAAGAAAGAAAGAAATACATAAATAAATACGAATGATGAAGCAAAGGAGAATGGCCAGCCTGTTCCACTGTTTAGGATTGTTTTACTTTGAGGCCTGGTTTTCTTGCTCATTTCACACTCTGCACATACCCTGGAGGTGAGATCAAGAGCTTCCCTCTTCAAATAGAGGAATTCTGCCAAAGTTGCTAAAGAATTAGAAAGAAGTTCAATCACAAATTTTTCCCTATCAGATTGATTGAAACCTGATGTATGAGGAGGAAGAATTTCTTTGCTTTGCACTAGTTTGACTAAAGTAATAAAGAAGAAACTAGAAACATTACACATTCAAAAGAGTTTCCGTGTAAGTGGGGGTAAATTAGTTCTATTCTTAGCACCCTTTTCAGAGTTATTTTTCCTTTAGTTGTGGCCATCTGCTTAAGAACCACAGAAGTTGGAGCTGGACCCAGACTGGAAATTTCCTCCTCAGGAGATGTGATTCAGCACAGTGTATTCTTGGAAAGGGCAAGTGAGTTTGAAGTGGCATTTTAATTTGTATAAGAGTAGTGAAGAAAAAGGATGGAGATGGGACAAGCTTGGAGGGAGACTTGTTTTACAATGAGCTTCAAAGAAGGATTAAAGACTTCCAAGGAAGCAAAGGGCTATGATTTGGTTGTTATCAGAAACATGGAGTGAGTATTTACTTTTTGAGTATGGCATTTGTTGAATAAAGGTTGAAAAGATCATTACTTCTGAATTTGTTTTCTGCCACTTCTTGCGTCTGCTAAAAATACATTTGCTTTTATGATTTTGTTTCAAAGAAAAATAACAGGTTACAGGTTTCTCATGACTAGGGGATGCTATTCCTTCTCTTGTTTAAAGCTGAGATGACCAAAAGCTATCTCTGAATGTCTTATCTTTCATTGTTGAGAGTCCCTTGGACTGCAAGGAGATCAAACCAATCAGTCCTGAAGGAAATCAACTCTTACTGGTCTTTGGAATGACAGATACTGAAACTGTAGCTCCAATACTTTGGCCACTTGATATGAAGCAAAGACTCATTGGAAAAGACCTTGATGT